AGAGCTATGTATATAGATGATCTAACCTTTGGTATAATAATAATAATAATAATAATAATAGATTAACGTAATTATTTAGATAAGAATCTGTAGAAAAAGCGTTCACTCGCTGGCTAGTAATTCAGCACATATTTGCACTCACGCGTAGGCCTAGGACGTTTGGCCTATAGTAGATGATATAACTAAGTTAGATCTAATAATAATAATTTAGATAAGATCATAAGAATCTGTATATATATAAAAACAAAAAAAACAATTACCTGCTGGCAAATGATTCATCAGAGATCTAGTAGACCTAGTCCGCCTAGCCTGCTAGTAAAGTTGCGTTGTAAACGCGCGTACTTGTAAGTTGTAACGTTATTATTAGGCCTATACATACGATTGTTAACAACCGGTTCGTGGAGGTCATTAAATTCTAAGAACAGGTTCGCACAAACCGGCTGAATCCCACCACTGGTGATATGGTTAAAGAAATGAAAAATAAAACGTAAACATTTACCTTAAAAAAACTTTTGATATCCTTTTAAGAGGTTCTAGAGGTTATGCAAATGAAATATGAAAACTATAAGATGAAGAAAATTATTTTTATACTTAAAATGAAGATCACCTAAGTAACTACAACAGAAAAATAACATTTTTAGTAAAAACACTTAATTATAAAAATTGTCATTATTTGTGTACAAGATACTCGTGGTCTCTGACAAAATCTTACCAGTTTTTGAGAGGACACAAGAAAATCTTGGAGTTACCACATATGTTGTTGTAAAAGTAAAATTCGTGACTAGATTTCTACAAATTACACGAACCCACTGTAAAAGGGTTAGGGTTACTACATGTACACGCTCCAAGTAATATACTGCAGTATGACTTATGTTTTCTAGGTGGAATCAACGAATATGTGGATATCAATAAGCTAGATGATTCAACTTATGAATGTATTTATCGGCCAATGAACGAGGGTCGTTATGTGATCACTGTATCATATGGAGGCCAAGAAGTGCCTCATAGTCCATTTGAATTAAATGTTGGACCTTACAAAGAGTCCAAAATTTGTGCATATGGACCAGGATTGGATGGAGGGGTTGTTGGATACCCAGCTTGTTTTACTGTGGATACAAATGGAGAAACAGGATCACTTGGTATGTTAAATATAGCATTAATGTTGGTTGTGTCAACATCTATGTTTTTGGGTAACAGAAAAAGAATATCAATTTTTAATAACATTGACAAAAATCAAACAATTTAAATACAGTTTGAAAAAGTTTTATATATATATATATATATAATGTGTGTGTGAGTATTGAAATGTATGTCAAAATGTGTTTGAAATATCTGAAAAATATAACATTTTGTATGTGATTGTATCTTAACTTAAACTTTTTTCAGTTGAGCAAAGTAAGTATATATTCCAACAAAGGGACATATGATAATGGCTGTAGGTTTTAAGGATAGTATAATCACATGTATATTAACTTTATTGTGGGCTCAAAAAAAGGTGGTTAGGTCATGAAGTGTTAAATGTACCCCCCCCCCCCCAAAATAAAAAACAAACAAACAACTATTCTGTGATGTTTCGTTTCACACTTGCACAACCTAAGTCTGTAGTATTACAGGGGTTAATTAATAAGTTCACATTTTGATATCAAAAGGTAATATACAGATTCCGCAGTTATAACGGTTATTTGTGATCAATCATTATGATCAATGTTAAATCATATGCAGTAGACATGGGAAGATGTAGGTCTGCTTTGTCATAAGTAGGTCTATAGGACTGGCATTTTATTTCTTTTACCAGTGTTACAACTAGACCTCTAGGAATCTGTGGAGCAAAATTACATGGGTACCTTTAAGTACTGTTTTTAATAATTATGGGCAGGCTGGTGAAGGTACAGAAGCCCATTAACCTCATTCAGTAAGTAATATAGGTAGTTGCACCTGTATTCTTTTGATCCAAATTTAGTAACTTTAATCAATTAGGCAAAGTCTTTAATAAATATTAAGATCCACTCTTCCCCCACTTTATGCCTATTAAGAGAGAGAAACTATGTGAGGCTGTGAAATTTCACTCAGACTTTTGGTTAAGTATACTTGCATAAATTTGGCATTAGCTTTTCTAGACCTACTCTTGTTTGTAATGACTCAGATTTTAAACAACACTAAGTCTGAAAGTGGCTCAACAGCCTACAAGAGAGTCAAATTTGTCCACTGAAAATACAAGAGAAACAAATAAAGTTCAGAGAAAAAGGAATAAACTTCTTGACAAGCTGCTTCCCATTGTTGATCACAGGTTCCAAAATGAGTGAAAAAGTGTTATTTGTTTTCCAAACATTTGAAATAAAACCATCTTTCTTTAACAAAAATGAACTTAAATTACAGCAATAACAATTTGAATATAATAACATACTTCTATGGACCAGATAAAAGTTTGAAAAATTCAACTTTGATCCTGTTGTATGAGAATAACAGTGGAAAATTGGAGTATTTGTTAATATACATTCAAGAGAATTTTTTTGATACTCTGATACTTTTCATACTGCAATCTGTGAGAGAGAGAGAGAGGGTTTGATGCACAAAATAACATTCATATGAGTTCAAGGAACTGCATGAAACTAAAGTTACGATGTATCAACTATAATAATGGATTACTTTCAGTAATCAGTAAATTTGTAGAATAAGCAGATTCAGCATTGTATTACTATTCAAATCTGTATATCAGAACATTGGCTAATTTATTTGGAGCATTAATACATTTTTCCAATTTGAAGAAGAGGGGAGATTTTTGAGTCTTGTAAAATCCTAATTTTAACCCTGCTTTTAGAAGGTAGGAGTAAAGACGTGAGATGCCAAGAATAAATGACTTTTTGTTATTTTAGTTTGCAAGAAGCTGGTGCTGATTTGTAGAGATTGTAAGTGGTAGTTCTGGAAGGACAATTTTTGTGAAGATGTTTAAGTTTTGATCCATGAAAGTTCATTTCTAATGTTTTGTCTACACAGGGTTTTCTATTGAAGGACCATCTCAAGCTAAAATTGAGTGTGATGATAATGGAGATGGGTCAGCAGATGTCAAATACTTCCCATTGGCTCCTGGTGATTATGCAGTCCATATTTTATGCAATAATGAAGACATTCCTAAATCTCCATTTGTGGCTCAAATCTTGCCGAAAACAGATTATTTTCCAGAAAAGGTAAAAATAAAAAGTAAATGTCATAGCAACCACAATTTTTTAATGTACTTCTGTGTATAAAAGGTTAGTGATGCAAGTTAAATTTGGCAAATTGTAAGGTCTTTCTCAGACTCAATTTCCAAAATTCCAGAATGGTCTGTTTTAGTGTTTTTAAGCATTTATGTTCTAAACTTCTAGGCTTAATTTTTAATTTGCTGGTCTTCATGATTAATTTTATTTTACTATTTTGGTAATTCATAAGCCTGGTCAGTATATTACTGATTTATATTTTCGATTAGTTGTGTGTTAATTGATATAACTATAGCTATTATTGTAATTACAGGTGGAATTTCTTATATTGTCTTTCCTCAGCAGTTATGAGACTGAATGTAGCTCAGTTTTGTTTTTCTACTTTAATAATCAGAAAGTATAAACTGTATTTTACATCAACATATTATATTGAAATTTGTTTCAACTTCATGACCTAATAAATCTTTATGAATTTTATTCGACTTTTAGGTTGAAGCTTTTGGATCTGGAATTGATAAATATGGAGTAACAAAGAACAAGCCAGTAGATTTTACAGTAGACATCCGTAAGGCTGGTGGCCATGCTCCTCTTGACATCAATATCATTGATGAAGAATACCGACCCGTGGATCTGAAAGTTCAGGACAACAAAGATGGCACGTACACATGCAGCTACTGCCCAACCAAAAGCAACAAGCACACAATACAAGTTAACTATGGAGGTGTAGCCATCCTTAATAGTCCATACCGAGTAAGTCCGACTTTTTTTTTTTTTTTTTACAGTTAGTTAGTTAGTTGAAGGTGTCTTAAAATATGCACAGTATGGAATAATTTATTTATATCATTTATTTGAGGAATTGCACAGGCAGAGGAAGCAAAAGTTACCCTGGTGGGAGCTCAAGTTCCTGCAAAACCTGAGCAGAGTAATTCCGTGGCTCCCCAAAACTGTGGAATTTTTAGTCTTCAAATGAACCTGTAGTTTGACATTCTGAAAATTTTTTACAATGTAGATATAATGCCCCCCCCCCACCCACACACACACACTGCCTCCTTTCCTCTGCCTATGAATTGGGTCTCAGAATAATTATGCAACTATTAACTGTGTGATACACCAATTGATAAGAATCATGTTTCTATCAATTATTCATTGTTCTTCTAGCCAAGTCTTTAAAATAAGCTCTTATAAGTGGCTGTACTAATCAATTTTATCAGGAACAAGAGTCCAAAGTAACTAAAGAAATCTATTGAAAGTTGAAACATGTGGTAACTTGATGGAGTTTATTATGGAATAAGCTGTCTAGTAATCTTTAATGAATTGTTTTACTTCCAATATAAATTTATTAGAATCATATTTTTAGCCACGTAATAGCAGGACTTATAGAATGGCTCTGAGTTTTCCTTTTTCTTTCAAGTACGAACTTTTAGCTCATAGCCTAGTAATCATACCTGTGTATTTGTTTTTGTTTCATTGTAACATTTTTAACTATTTCATCCAGTACGGAATTAACAACTGAAGTAGGTTTAGGAGATTCCAATGTGGATGTAAAAAGTCTTTTGATCAGTGTCTGTTTTGACAGGGACACATTGAACATCAACGTATGGAACAATTCTGAGTTTGTTTGTTTGTTTTTTCAACTACAAACTTTCAGTTCATAGCTCCATCTCTTGACTGATTTGAGATCAAAAATATATATTTGGGCTCAGGAGGTCAGACCATTTCAATTGATGTATTTGACCACGATCAAGGTCTCGTAGATTAATTTATTATAATCCTACCTAATTTGAGGGTAGGCTGGTAGAGATCCTGATGAGTAATAAAATGGAATCAGGTATTACTTGTATTACTGGCAGACACACAAAATTTAGTTAATGAAAGGAAAAAAGAAAGGTCTGTTAGATTAATTTACTCTAGTCCTGCCCAAAAGTGCTGCAGCTATTGAGGATTCCCCTCTTGTTTAGGACAAAACTGTTTTTGTTGGATATGGTTTCTTAGCTTTAAAGATATGTTATAATAATGATTAAAAAGTATGTCTCATAATGTATCTATTTCAACACCTGTTTTGTTCAGTACTAATAGTAATTAACTTGACCTCGCATGTTGCAGGTTTTAGTGTCTGAACCAACAGACTTGTCCAAAGTGCGTGTATTTGGTCCAGGAGTGGAAAGTGGAGTCAAAGAGCAGACTCCTACACATTTTAATGTAGATGCACAAGGTTGTGGTCAAGGTATGTTGAAGACAGCTAATGTATAATGTAAAAACTGTAAAATAAAGACTAGCCAGAAAGATAGGCATTTCAAAATTAATTTTGTTTATTTACTTAGATGTGTTTTTAAGTGATGTTATAAATTAAACTGGAAATAATATAGAGCCCTACCATAAATGAAAATATGTTCAAAACTACCAAGCTGGTCAGAACAAGTAATGAATGGTTTTGTAATCATTAATTCACTTAAATATATCTTGTAACATAACATTAGTTATTATATATTGTATTCATTAGCAATGGAATGAAATTAAGTTTTTATGGGTCTACTTTTTTTTGTAATTTTCTCTATAATAAACGTCCTCTGCTACTTTCAAGTACAATCTTCCTGTACTGTCCTTATTGTAAACAGATTCTTGTCTTTATACTCCTGATATCCACTTTGAAATATGAGAAACACCCAATACAATAATTCTAACTCTATCATCATTATTTCAAAGTGTACTATAAACTGCCTGCTTTTTCTAGAAATTGTAACAATTACTATCAGGCCCATATGCAGACTGTTTGGGGGGGGGGGTTCTAATTTGCGAGATTAAAAGCCAACACATATTGTAAAGCATGCTAATGCTTCATCAGAAGAATATATACTATGTATAAAACTTTAAACACCATAAGCAGCTGTGCTATAACTATTTAAGCATAATTTTTTGTTCTACATCACAAATTAGGGGGTTCAACTGTCTCCCCCTCCCCCTTTCATGTACATGCATGACTATAGAGTAATTTCATTATAACCTACTAAATTGTGTGGCATGGCCAGGTGATTAGAGCACTTGACTCGCAATCTGAGGGTCATGGGTTCAAATCCCTGACCCACCAAACACACTCTCCCTTTCAGCCATGGGGGTGTTATAATGTGAGGGTCAATCCGACTCTTTGTTGGTAAAAGAGTAGCCCAAGAGTTGGCAGTGGGTGGTGATGACTATCTGCCTTCCCTGTAGTCTTTCACTGAGAATTTAAGGATGGTTGGTGCAGATAGTCCTCGTGTAGCTTTGAATGAAATTCAAAACAAACAAATTAAATTGTAGAAATCATTAACATAGTTACTGTAGAATTTTAGTTCTGATTGCTAATTATCATCTTGAATTGTCATAGTTTTCTGGAAATCATGTGCATGCGTGCACACACACACAGACAGACAGACAGAAGATAGATAGATAGATATAAAATATGTTCTTTTCCATAAATAGTAATATATACATACTATTATTAAAAATACATTAAATTTACTATTTCAGGAGATGTTAATGTAGTTATGACTGATGACCGAGGCAACATTGTTCCTGTTCAGGTTCAGGACAATAGGGATGAAACATATGTAGTTGATTACATTCCCCCTACATGTGGAGACTACAAGGTAATTGGTCTAATAAATATGCAGTACAAAGATTGAAGTTTACTGTTACAGAAAGAGTATCTTGTGTTTGGAAATCTGACAGAAAAAAATCTTATGTAGTAAAGTACTTTAATACACAAGTTATTAAAAATTAGTATGAATTTAAGGAATTACTTTTCAGTCAATGTTGGTTATTTTGAACAAAAATCCATCATTATTTAATAATGGAATCAAATTTTGAAATTTATATGAAAGTGAATATGTGGATTTGATTTATGTGGTTAATCCCATTATTTAAGCTTTTGTAGCTGTAATAATGTAGCCTTGAACTCTTCCAGTCATGAAATTAATTGTATAATGTATTTTTTTAAATTGTCAAACACTATTCAAAGATTGAAATTTCTTTTGTTCTTCTAGAACAGAATCAAAACATACACTTACTTGTTAACTACAAGTATATCTGTTAAATTTAGTTTTGTTTTTGTAACAAACTTAAATATTATTCACTTCATCATTAAGTACTCTTCTGATAACTAGAGACAAAGCTGCTAATTACATTTGATATTCCATTAACAAAATTTGCAAAGGCTACTTTTCCTCTGTCCACTCTTAATTTAACTAACATTTAATTGTTGCCTAATTTAAATATTGTGGCAAGAATTAAAATTATTATTGTTTCTATTGTAAATTGTGTTTTTTTCTCTCTCTCTCTCTCTCTCTCACACACACACACACACACACACACACACACACACACACACACACACACACACACACACACACACACACACTACACACACACACACACACACACACACACACTACTACTTACTTACTT